TAGGACCCTGAATCACCCGGTCATTTACATTCGCAAACCCCCAGAGCCTAGGTGAGGGGTTGTCAGGGACCCGTGTCCCATCTTTCCCTGTGTTTTGGGTGAAATTCTTGGAGGTTTACTATCAGTTCAGTCTGTGGCCACCATCCCAGCAGCCACCAGAGACCAGACCGCTGGTTGAGCACCGGACAAGGGCCACCTGTCACCTAGGAGAGGTCCCCCAGGTGGCCCCACCCACACGGCATCTATGGCACAGCCGCAGAGTGAAAGTTGAAGAGTCTGTTTGCATTTACAGACCCTGGAGTTGGGGGAGGGACACAGCAGCCCTCTCCGCTGACAACCTGTAGTGGGGACGTGCGATACCCAAACTGGTTTCCGGAGGGGACCTTTACTTGGTGGCGTTATTCCTCTTTCTGAGACAGGGTCTTGCTATGTAGCTCAGGCTGGCCTCGAACTTGCCCAGGCTGGTGTTGAACTTGTGGCCATCGTCCTGCCTCAGCCTCCCAGTGTGCTGGGAGATAGGTGTGGGCCCCCGTGCCTGGCTGAGTCTGAGTTTCTATCTTTGTGCTGTGGCGGGAGCTGCTCCAGTGGGGAATGGTACTGGAGGCCCGGGGGGGCTGCACCTTGTAGGATGAGAAAGTCAAACATAGCAAAAAATGGTTGCCATGGAACCCTAAACTTGTGAGCCTTCGCTATAGCTTTGTCCTGCTCAGTGTCACTGAAAACCTTGTTTCCCAGACTCCTTTCCCTCCGGCTTCTGGTGGAAGGGGTGGATGCTGCAGGAAGGTGGGAGGAAGGGAGATTCGAGGCTGGATTTGGGAGCTACAGTTCACACGCTATCAAATGCACGCCTGGCCTCTTTTTTCTCAGAGTTGTACCACCACCACCACGAACAATGACTTTGGAGCGTTGAAATTCACCCTGGCCCCACAATTCCATGAGCACAAACGATGACCGCTATTTCTTCTCCTGCCCTCAGCCCCTGTAACCACAGATCTGCTTTCTGTTTCTACAGATTTGCCTAGGCCGGAGATTTCTTACAAATAGAAGCAGACCGCATGCGGCCGTTGTGTCGGTGTCTCTTAATGAGTGTGTTTTCAGGTTCACCCACTGTGGAGGAGGGGTCAGCTTTTCACTCTTTGAATGGCTGAATGATATTCCATTGCATGGATATACCACATCTTGTTCATTCTTTATCAGCTGGATGTTTGAATTGGTTCTGTTTTTTAGCTATTATGAATAATACTATGTTTGTGTATAAGTTTTTGTGTGGACATATGCTTTTATTTCTCTTAGGTATATGCTTAGGAGTGGAATTGTTGGGTCATATGGTCGCCATAAGCTTAACTTCTTTTTTGGTTTTCTGAGACAGGGTCTTGCTATATAGTCCAGGCTGGCCTTGAACTCACTTATATAGCCCAGACTGGCCTCCAACTCATAGCGATCCTCCTGCCTCAGCCTCCTGAGTATTGGGATTACAGGTGTGGGCCAAAATGCCTGGCTGTATGGTTAACATTTTGAGGAACTTTAAAAATATTTTCTAGAGTGATTGCACCATTTTATATTTCCATCAACCACGCATGAGGGCTCCATATATTAAACAAAACTTTGGTATTAGACAACAATCCTTTGATTTTCCCCATCCTAGGAAGATGAAGTGTTATCTTACTGTGGTTTTGATACATATTTTCTAAATGATTAATGATACTGGGCATCTTTTCATGTGCTTCTTGACAATATACTTTCTTTGGAGAAATATCTATCATTTCTTTGCCCATTTAAAAATTGGGCCATTTGTTTTATTGTTGAGTTGTCAGAATTCTCTTAATATTGTTATACGAATATAAGATGTGTCTTTATATAAGATCACAGCAGATGTATATTTAGAAGCAGTTTCTCTCATTCCGTGAATTCTTTTTAGTTTCTTGTCTGTGTCCTAATGAAGGACAGTGTTTTAAAACTTGAGGCCTAATTTTTTTATTTTTCTTTTGTCATCTGGGCTTTTGGTATGACATCTAAGAAAATGTCTAATTTAAGTTCACACAGATTTTTTCTTATATTTTCTTCTTAGAATTGTATAGTTTTAGGTCTTACATTTAGTTTTTTTTTTTTTTTTTTTTTT